AAGAGGATCTTTGGTGTGGGTCGTTGGCTGATCCTGATCTGTTGCTTTGTTTAGCCTAGGAAAGTTGATTGTAGTCGTAAGTTTTTTCCAGATGATGTAGCACACGGCTGCCAGGATTGTCAAGGCAATAGCGTCACAAATTAAGGAGAAGTGAAAATTATTGCCAAGTTGCTTTAGATGGTGAATATTTTCTATGCTGAGCCCGTGGATGTACTCCAGATTTAAATTCAGCCCATCACTTGTAACGTTAACCAAAGCGGGTGGCAAAGCCTGCACTGTGCGTGCTGATTTGCTGGTGAACGTTTGATTTCCCACCAGGACCGTTTCATTATTTAGTAAAATAACGTATGTTCCGTTTAGGACCGCGGAGTAGTTCCTCCCCTTCAATGGTCCTTGAAAGTTTGTAGTAAATATTGTTGCATCAGCGATCATTTCAACAATTACGTTGTTGTCTGGTTCAAAGTGGCATTTAGCATCGCCGCCCTTCACTAATCTAGCCAGGCATCCGTCTTCAGGAAGTTTCGTTAAGGATTTGGGTGAGCAGATTGTTGTGTTGCTAATCGAAGGACAATCCTCGTTCAGTCCGAACGTTTCCTCTTCGTTTACCAGCATCTGCTTGTAATTAAGTTCAACGTGTTGTCCCCTTATGATGGCGGCGCGTGTTGTTAAAAGTCGGTAGCCATCTGGTTTGACTTTTGGTATTGATAATACGTATAAAAGGATACTACCGTTTGAATACACGGAAGCCGATCCGTATTCTATAGCTTCGATGGTATTTTGATATGGCAGCGAATCTTCTTCTATTAAAAGTCTTTGTATCTCGTCTCGATCAAGTAAGTTTGTGTTTATGATACCAGATTTTGCCATTTGGCACGCCTGCACGATCTCTGATACCTGTTCCTTCAGGATTAGAACTTTGCTCAAGTCCAGAAGCTCCAAATTCTCTTCGCTAATATTTTTTTTTATGGCGTTGATGTGTAGCATCATTTCATTTGCTTTATCAATCGCCTCACGGGTAACGTTGAAGAGCTTTTCATTGACACGGTACTGGTGGTTATTGTTTACTACGACATCGTTCATGCTACGGAGGATGTAATCCCAATCTGCTGCATCTGGAGACCCGGCGATCCACTTCCATGCGGATCCTATCCAGTCAATGGAACGTCTTCTTCGTGACTTACTTATTTGCAGCTCCTCAAGTCGCAGCTTGGTTTGGTTTAGGTGGAATTGCAGCACAGTACGCACAGCTTCGCTTCTGATATCGTGCTGGGTTGACTCGATCAATTTCTCCAATGCCATATTGAAGTAGTTAAGGTCGACCATATGGACCAGACTGAAGTGTCCGTTCAGAATCCAACCACGCCCATGTTCAATAGTGACCAGCGGCGAGTCGTAATTGTAAATATTAAGGCCGCAAACGCCAGATATTAAAAGTAAACTGTCTTACCATCATGATTGGGAAAAAAGCACAAATGAGAATTTCTTAAATTAGCATTAGCCTGTTTCGACGCTTATTTCTCTCTTTTTATATTTTTTTCCAACTTTTCTATTTCTTTCTTTCTAACTTTTATATATTTTTTTATCTTCAGGGACGGAAACATTTTAATAAGTACAAGTAATTAAATGGTTGCATATTATCCTTTTCTTAAACAGTGGCTAGAAGTTGTTGAAACTTATTTAGTAAAGGTTAGTGGGCCATATTTTAAAATTATCCTTAATTAGTTGAGAAGATAGGTAGAGGTTTTTTTTTTTTTTTACATATTTATCAAAAGATAATGAGAAGATAATGACCAATATCTAAAAATTATTCGATAATAAAAAAAAAGAAAAAAAAAATTAAATTTTATTCTTTTTTTCTTTTTTTTTGTTAGCAATATTTTTCGAAATTACGCTACAATTAAATTTTTGTTTTCCGTTGTACATCGGTATATTCTTATATGCTACTACCGTCCCCGATTCTCTAAACCACGTAAATGGAAAATCCACAGGAACCAAGAATGTTAATAGAAAAAACATTTTTGTTACAGATTTTGAGCAGTTTTGTATCTCTATTTCAAGTATGCCGTTACGAGTTACTTCCTTAGGGTCCCGTGGCTTTACCAAACCTGCGGTGGTGAAGTTGGTATCAAAAGAGAATTTTAGTGTTAATTTTTATTTATTTATTTTTTTTTTTTTTCAGCAATATTTGCCTCCTTTTTTAAGCGTTATTGTGTGTGGGCTAAGTGGTTGCCATGGGCAGCTTTTGCCTCTTTAAATTAGCCGTTAGTGTTAATTTTTTTGGTTTTTATTTTTATTATTTTTTATTTTTTTCGGCAATATTTGCTTCTTTTTGTAAGCGTTATTATGTCTTGGCTAAGTGATTTGTTATGGGCAGCTTTTGCCTCTTTTTTAGTTAGCCGTTCATGCTTTGTGTTTCGTCTGTGCTATAATAGTTTTTATCATTTTGTCTTCCGACATTCGGAAATTTTTTTTTTTTTTTTTTTTTTTTTTTTTTTTTTTTGCCTTTC